AGGAAAGGAGAGGAGAGGAGAGGAGAGGAGGAAACATTTTAGCCACCAGGACAGTAGAGCCAGTAAAGGAGCATGTTCTTTAGACCCAGATTGTTGTACTGGGAAGCTCTTGGAACCAGAAGACACAGAAAACTTTCCACCCAGGGCTAGCCTTTGAATTGTGGTTTCATTAAAGAATCCTGACTATCCTGTGAACTGTCAAAAGACAAACACATCTATCCTAGAGGAAGTGCAACCACAGTGGTCCTTCGAGGCAAGGGTGATGAAGCTTCACCTCGCATGCTTTGGAGGCAGCAATCCTTGGGAAAAGACAGCATGTTTGGATAAGTAGAGGGCCAGTTGAAACAAAAAAGGGGGACCTGTAATGAGATGGATTGACACCGTGACTTCAACAATTGGCTTGAGCATGCAGAGAACATGAAGACGGCCTAAGACAGCGTGAGGCTTCGATTGGTTGTTCATAGTGTGTGTAGTGTTAAGGATCCCTTTACTAGCCATTGACTTTGACTTTGCCATGTGGATGGGCAGGAAAATGTGAAAAGGGTGTGTTCGCCCGTCTACAAGGGGGTTGGCTAGTTCTACCACTACATTTAGCAGATTCAGCAGTAGGTTTTGAGGATCTCATCACTAGCAAAGAAGTTGAGAACGCAGCACGTCCTTTGGGGCCAGAGATTCTTGCACCAGCAAGACCTACAGGACAGCAGAAGTAGCCACAGCAGAAAGCCAGAGGACTCAACATGAAACAGAGCTGACCTTGGGACTGTTAACCCATGGAAGCACAGCTAGCAGCCTTTGCCCAAGTTTTGTTGGAGGACTGGGAGGGGAGAGCCAGAGGTTTGTAATGCTGGCCTAAAGCTGTGAGGTGGAAGGCCAAAGGGCCTGTATGAATGCTTCAGAAGCTGTCCTGAGTGAGAACTTGTATCCTGTTGTCAACTGAAATGGTATCCTTTAACATTCCTATTATTAAAACCCTATTAATTGTCCAGAATGAAGGTTGTATAGTGGAGTGTACTCGGAGGGGAGGTGGGGCAGGGGGGTTGAATACCAAGGAAGGAATTTTTCTGTTTCTTTTCAAAGAGAAGAGTGAACTGGGCGGGCGGTGGTGGTAGTGGGGGGAGGCAGGGAGAAAAATGCAATAATGAATGAATGGAAATCCAAAATCTCTGTAAATTTTAATTAAAATTAATAATTTTTTTTAAACAAAACCCTAGGGGAGCTCTGGTGGCCTAGTGGCAAGGAGCTGCAACTACAATCCCAGAGGCACACGGTTCAGGCACACGGTTCGAATCCACCAGATGCTCTGCCGGGGAAAGAGGGACAATCTCCTGTACCAGTCAGATCTGATTTGACGGTATACTCACACAAAAATAATAAAGTAAAAAAAATTAAAAAACAACAACCCTATAATTGTATGAGTCTGTGCGCTTTGCGAGCTATTGCAGCAGAATTTGGACCAGATAAAGCAGTAAGAGTAGTGTTGAAATGAGTAGAAATTGGTGCAGGAGTGTCAGACACAAGTTAGACCTGGTGGGAACTTGTTTCGTGTTGTGGATGTTGTTGACGGGGACAGTCTTCCTTTGTGCAGTTTATAGAAGTCAGACCAGGTCTTCCTCGTGGACCCGTCTTTGTTCTACAGGTTCCTATGAGTCATAGTCTACTTGATGGCTTGTTAACAACAATAACAACACAGTTGAGACCCTGATTTCTGGGCTTCTTGCTTCATAAACTGTTTTTGTTGTAGTTGTTATGTGCCACTGAGTCAACCATGACTCACAGTGACCCTATGTACAATAGCTCTGAACGCTGTTCTATCCTGGGCCAATCTTACTGTATCTGACACATCTACCTCATTATCCCAGTTACTGTGTCAATCCATCTCATCTGGGGTCTTCCTCTCCTGCACTTCCCTTTCACCCTTCTAAGCATGATGTCCTTCTCCAAGGACTGGTCCAGTAGGAGAATAAATTTCTATTTGTCAAAGACATGCACTTGAGAGATCTCTGAAGTAGAAGAAACTTAAGATGTGGCTGTTGGATTCATGAAGTCAGCCACACTGTTACTAGTATTCCTTGCATTGCAGGGTCACTTCTCCTTTTGTGTGCCAGGTGGTTCTCCCTCAGTCCTGAGTCCTGAATCTGGCTGGATTGACTCTCGAAAACATGTAGACTCTGTGATCCATAGAACCTGGCCATCAGCTCCTGCTTTGCTGGTGTGAACAGTGGTGTGAAAGGGGAAGTCCACAGCCAGCCAGGAGCTGGGCGTAGGACCCCAACTTGATACGTGTGTGGTCCCCATGGGAACCTCATCTAGAAAGTGGAAGCAATTTCCTTCCAGGGCTCTGACAGCGTGGTGTGAGTTTCCTCTTCTGTGGTTACTTTTCTGACCTCATGCCCAAACTTCCTGTTGGAGCTTCCTCTCAGTCCTATGACACACCAGGACCTCACGTCTCTTAGTCCAAAGATGCTAATGCTTCTGTTGTTGCTGCTGCCGCTGCCCTGACTGTGGGCAGGTGAGTGGGCAAGGGAACGGGCAGTGGTGTGAGCACTGGAGCTGTGACTGACCCTTCTTTCAAACCTACAGGGTCCCTGGTTCAGGGTGAGGAATTCCAACTGGAAATTAATAATGCAGTGACGGTACAAGAGGGTCTGTGTGTCCATGTGCCCTGCTCTGTCTCCTACCCCTCCATAGACTGGTATCCCTCTACTCCAGCGTTTGGCTACTGGTTCCGGAATGGGACCAATTACCGCCTTGACGCTCCAGTGGCTACAAACGACCGAAGCAGAAGAGTGCGGGAGGAGACCAAGGGCCGGTTCTTGCTCACTGGAGACCCTCGAGACAATCAGTGTTCCCTGGACATCAGAGATGCCCGGATGACCGACACGGGGTCATACTTCTTTAGGATCGTCAGAGGATCTTATGTGAAATACAATTACTTAGAATACTGGTTTCCTGTGCGTGTGACAGGTAAGGGTCATAGCCCACAGGACAGTGGGATGGACGGCCTGCTGCTGGGAGGGACTGAGTGGAACAAGATGCTGGGGTTGATTGGCGGGGAGCCAGTCAGACCACAGGCAGAAGCTGCTTTTAGGGACAATTTGAGAATCCCCACCTCTAAAGCCTGTTTTTCTCTCTCTCTTCCCCCATTCTCTCTCTCTCCCTCCCTCTCTCACCTCTCTTTCTCTCTCTCCCTCCCTCCCTCTCTCTCCATTCTCATTCTCTCTCTCCTCCCTCCCTCTCTCTCACCTCTCTCTTGTCTCTCATCTCTCTCTCACCCCTCTCTCTCCTCTCTCCCTCCCTCCCTCTCTCACCTCTCTCTCCTTTCTCATTCTCTCTCTCTCCCCCCCTCCCTCTCTCACCTCTCTCTCTCCCCCTCCCTCTCTCACCTCTCTCTCTCCCCCCCCCTCTCTCTCATCTCTCTCTCTCTCTCTCTCTCTCTCTCTCTCTCTCTCTCTCTCTCTCCTCTCTCCCGCCTTCTCACCTCTCTCTTCTCAGCTCTGACCCAGACACCCAAGATCCACATCCAGAGGTCCCCAGAGTCTGGAAAGTCTACAGAAATAGCCTGTAAGGTGCCTTGGGCCTGTAAGAAGGGGACACTCCCCACCTTCTCTTGGATTGGTGTTGCCCTCACATCCCTGGACCCAAAGAGTCTCCCTCACTCAGTACTGTCCTTCACCCCGAAGCCACATCACCACGGCACCAACCTTACCTGTCAAGTGACCTTCCCTGGAGCAGGTGTGACCACAGAGAGCACCATCCAGCTCAATGTGTCCTGTGAGTGCTGGGCAGAGATGCCTGGGTCCCTGAGGGCAGTGGATGTTAGGGAAGTGGACAGAACCCGGAATACTGAATGCTGGGTACTTGAAGAGCAGGCTGGTGAGAAAGTGGATGCTAGACTCATCTTTGCTATTTCTCAACTTTGTGGGTGAAAAGGGCCAAACACGCATCCTCCTGCCACTGAAACAGAAACAATTATTTCTGTCTGTCCAGATCCTCCACAGAACCTGACCATCAAGGGGTTGCTGGGGAATGGCACAGGTAGGGAGTTCCTTTCTGGGGCTGTGGTACACATGTGGTTCCCTCCACCTCAGGGCAGAGCTGGGTCTTGGTCTTCATCTGGAAATAGGTCCAAGGTCAGGTATGGGGTTTACAAAGGTAGAAGTCGCTCAGTGATCAGACTGCAACCAGCTGGCTTAGCTTAATTTAACCTTGACCCAAGGATATTAGTGAACTGCTCCTTGCCAAGTTCAGTGGAGGTCATTGTCACTGGTGCCAAGGCTATGTCTTCTTGCCCCTATTGATGTAAAGTTTATTAATCAGTCCCTTATTTTGCTTTTTGCTTGTGTGAGGTTTGTTTTTTTTTTTTTTAAATGTGATTTGAGTGAAAGTTTACAAAGCAATTCACACACATTTTGTCTTGGAATATGAATTACAATGTTGTTGTCGTTACGTATCACTGAGTTGGGACTAGCCCAGAGCTGACCCTCCAGTGGGTTTTCAGAGGCAGTGAATTGCATGGGAGGAGATTGTCCAACTTTTTCCTATGGAACAACTGGCGGATTTGAACCTTTGGGATTTTGGGTGCTTTTGGGACTGTAACACAGCCTCTTACCACCACAGTTCCCTTAAATGTTGTTGTTTACCATTGAGTAGCTGACCCTCTGGTGGGATTTCAGAGGCAGTTTATCGCAAGGGAAGAGAGTGACCATCTTTCTGCAGAGCAGCTGGTGGATTCAAACTGTGTGCCTTTGGGATGGCATCACAGCTTCTTACCACGAGGCTATTGGAGCTCCCAGATTGATGTAATTAATCACAATGCCTAATTGGTGGAAGATCTATCAACAATCTGTGTTATGTAGATGACACAACCCTGCTTGCTGCAACTGAGGAGGACCTGAAGTGCTTGTTGCAGAGGGTCAAGGACTGCAGCCTTCAATATGGATTGAGGCTCAATGTCAAGAAGACAAAGATTCTCACTACTGGACCAATCGGTAGCATCAGGATGGATGGTGAAGAGATTGAGATTGTTCACAGTTTTAGTTTGCTTGGCTCCACAGTCAACACTCTTGGCATCAGTAGCCAGGGAATGAAAAGATGTATAGTGATGGAAAAGTCTGCTGTTAGGGACCTCTTCAAAGTACTGAAGAGCAATGGTGTCTCTCTGGAGACTAACGTGCATCTGATACAGGCCATGGTCTTTGCAATCACTTGTTATGCATCAGAGAGTTGAACAATGACTAGGGAGGATAGAAGGAGAATTGGTGCCTTTGAGCTGTGGTACTGGAGAAGAGTATTGAATATACCATGGACTGCTAGGAAAACAAACAGATTCATCTTGGAGAGGGTTAAACCGGGCTGCTCCTTTGAGTCAAGGATTCTGGGGCTTTGTCTGACATGCTTTGGACATTGCAAGGAGGGATGTACCCTTGGAGAAGGACATGATGCTTGGGAAGGTGGAGGGACAGTGCAGGAGGGGAAGGCCCTCTATGAGGTGGATTGATTCAGTGAGTGGGGCAATTGGGATGAGTGTGTTGGAGGCAGTGCGATTGGCACAGAATAGAGCAGGGATTAGGGCTGTTGTACACAGGGTTGCTATGATTCGACTGCACATAACAACCACCACCACCACCACCTGTTGGGGGAGGAAGGACACAGGAGTTCAGTGTCGTAAGTGAGTCAGGATTCTTCTCATCCCCCAGAGCTCATGGCGGAAGTGGTTCTGGTGGCCATTGTGGTAGCCGCAATTAAGACCCTGGTCTTCTGCCTCATTGTGTCTGTGTAAGCACCACCACCACCCCCCGCAGAGGGAAAGGAGATGTGGAGAGGGGAGGGAAAAGGTCACAGAACCTCAGAAACCAAATTCTGGTGGACCTCCGATGGGTCAAGGAGGCTTGACCAGACCAAGAGGGGACATGCTTGGTTGGTGAGGATTTCACACGTGACCGCTGCAGCCAAGCCTGAGGTCTATCCATGCCTGGGTCTGAATGTCCAGATGGAAGACCTTACTCTCCTCAGAAAGGTCTTATGGGAATTTTTTCCCTTTCCCACCTCAATTCACCTACTATTCCTGATTGGGCCAGACTTAGAGGTTCTCTCATCTCTTCACTCAGGGTGTTATTTCACAAGAAGAGAGCAGCAGTGGGCACGGAGGACACACGCATGAATATGTCAGCTCACTAGTAGGCTTGTCCCTCAGGTAAGCACCTTAGGTGTCTCACCTCCCATTGTTCTCCAGTGACACCCATCTTGGAAGATCCCCATGATTACGCTGCTCACGTGGGACAATATTAAACTGTCCATCTTCTTCTGCAACCCATAAGTCCCACTACACTGAGGATAGGTCTCCCAAGCCAAGACCAGGGATCCACCCTTCCGTCTCCATGAGCTAAGTAAGTCAGGAAACTTGTCTAGCCTTCTTCTTCAGCGCATAATCTTCTCCTCTCCACCTTGAACCTGGCAATTCCTGCGGCTTCATCTCTTCCCTCCATCACCTCATCTTCTTGCCTCAACCTCTGTCTCCCAATACAGACCCCCCAGATAGAATTCTCATGCAATTCCTGCATCAAGCATCCATTGACATTTGAACATCAATGCTCCTCTTCATGGATGAAGTATGAGGTGCAAACATCACTGCGTGGACTTCCAGACCTTCCATGAACTTCATGCGACCTTCAGGCAGGTCCTTGCCCAACTTCTACATCATACAATGTCGTGCCAAACCCAGCCACCAGCCAGACCAAATCCTCTTGGGACTCTGTGACGTTCCATGTCACTTTCTTTTGAAACGCCCTTTCTTCCCCAGTCTGCTTTCCTAAGCTTTTTAATTTAAGTGTCAACCAGTTATATGTGTGTGTGTGTGTGTGCGTGTGTGTGTGTGTGTAGCAGTCACTGTATAGATTTGACATGCGGTTGTTATTGTGTCCCACTGAGTTGGAACCAACCTATAGCTGACCCTCCAGCAGTTTTTTAGAGGCAATAAATCTCCTGGGAGGAGATTGTCCCTCCTTCTCTCACAGAGAAGCTTGTGGATTTGAGCCATGTGCTTTTGGGATTGCAATGAAGCTTCTTACCAGTAGGCTACCATAGCTCTCCTTGAGAAAAGGAGTGACATGCATGCATTTATGGATAAGATACTTTCATTACTGAATCCCTACTATGTTTTGGACACTGTGGCAAGAGCTGAGGATGCCTTGCTGAACCTGATCTCGAAAATCTTTTTCCTTAAAGAGCTGTCATTCTGGAAACAGAAGGATAGAAAGAAAGAGAAGCAAATAATAAACAAAGTGACAGCTTGGTAAATGGTGCTATATGCTTGGAGGAAATAATGCAGAGAAAGGAGTACAATATGTGTTAGAGGTGGATTTGCACTTGAACAATGACTTGAAGGCAGAGGGGAAGTCTAGCTCTAGGCTCGCCTAAGAGCAAAGGATCCTAGGGAGAGGAAGAAGAAGAAACAATGAGTGAAGTCACTCCAAGACAGAAGAAAGTCTGGGGTGTTGTGCAAATGACAGAGGTCAGAGTTTGAAGCACAGGAGGCAGAGGAGGGAGAGCACGTAGGTAGAGGACCATGTAGACCATGAGTGGTCTTGAAGGCTGAAAAAAATAACGTGGACATGAGTGTAACGGTCCCCGCTGGGGCAGGCTAGTGATACGTCACCCCGCAAGACAGGAAAGGAAGGAAGGAGAGTACGGTGAACACTGCTAAGGTCAGAGAGAACAAAACAAACAGAGACACAGACAAACACGTGGAGTCAAGGTCTAAGGAAGAAGCAGGAAAAGAAACAGGACCAGCAATAATTGCCACAGCCTTGGGGAACTGCCCCTCTAACCCTTCCCCATAGTTCTGCATTCGAAACTGGGGCCACCAGGTCCAAGCACTGTGCATGGAATTGACCTTGGAAAACACCTGTGATTACCATGGAAGAGTTGCTTGTCACCCACCACCAATCAGAAATAGACATGAATTGGAAAGGCAAGGAAGCTTCAGGATTATGGAATTGTGGTTTGGTGCCGTCAGGTTGAGTATAAGTCAAAGCAACCCTATGAACAACAGACCTGAGTCCTATTCCTGTGCTGTCTTCATCATCTCTGGAACACTTGAGCTTATTGCTACAGTCATTATGTCAACATACCTCGCTGAGAGTCTTCTTAGGATATTCTTTTTTTCCAAGCAATAGCCTCACCTAGCAACATTGAAGTCCAAAGTGTAAGAGACAAAGCTTCACCGTCTTTGCCTTCCAGGAGCATTCTGGTTGCTCCAAGACATGGCTCTTTGTTCTTTTGCCAATCCATGGGGTATTGAGTGCTCTTCTCCAGCACCACAACTCAGAGACATCAACTCTTCCTCAGCCATCCTTATTTATAGTCCAGCTTTCAGAAGCACAAGTAACTGAAAAGACCATGGCCTGAACTGGGGACATGTTAGTTTTCAAACTAAAAATTGTTGTTCTTCAGTATTTTGGAGAAGTCCCTGACAGTGGATTTGCCCATTGCAATACATCTATTGATCTTTCAAAATACAAAAGAACACAAAACAGCATGGAAATGGTGGCATCAGTGCCTTCTTATGTCCTCTAACGTCACCGAGATCAGAATTCTCATTAACATCAACAGCTCTGACAACCCAAAGCCGATTTCCATGAGGTCAACCATGATCCAAAGAGTCTACACCTTCTAACCAATTCCAGCACCAACAATCCCTTCCCAAAGCGCTCACGACTTCTCTACTGGGTTTGAGAACTTGTTGCAATGGCCACACAAACCTTAGAGACTATACTTATTAGGAAGTGTCTCAGGAGAATCCCTGGTGGCCCAGTGGAAAAATGTGTCAGGGTTATGGGAAGCTAAACTTTATACCCAATATTATATAAAAACCCTGGTTCAGGAATGGAAGGAATTACAAATTTCTAAGTTAGGATTTCTCTTGTGGCAGATCCCAGAAAATGAGCTGTTTGTTCCCTGCAGACAGGAGACAGCTAGGGCCCCTCTACAGAGGGAGTATTATTTCCTGAGCATCAAGCTAACCCCTCTTTCCTGAGTCAAAGGGAAGGTTTTCAATAGAAAGAGCTTGGCTTCAATTACAAGGAATTCCATTTATGATTTGCTTCCCCTGATTATCAAGAAATACACAAAGAAACATGACTTAGGGTCTTCAGTTGAGAACTGCTGGCCCCCTGTCTTATGCTCTCTGTTCTATCTCATTCCTGGATGTCTGTCTCATTATTAATAATGATGAAATTACTTTACCCTCAGTCTGCAACAAGGGTGATGATGGCAAGTTTTGAAAGTTGGCCGTTTGACTCCACCAGCTGATCTGCAGGAGAAAAGACAGGTAGTCTCCACCTGTAAAGATTTAGTCTTGAGAGCATGATGGAGAGTGTCTATGAGTTGAACTGATGAGACGACAGCGGTATGTGGGAGGGAAATCCTAAGTTGCAATTCTCCTTCAGGAACAACTCAGGATACAGTGCTCCAATCAGGACAGCTTTGTCTCAGCCAGGCCAGGAAGCAGGCTTCTCTTTCTTCGACCCTGGGCTTCACATCTGTTGCCTCAAATTACATGGTGTGCGGAGCAGCTGAATCAACGACAATTCTCAGTAACCTTATCAACAACAGATCTGAAACTTGCCCTCTCCCATATCATCCTCACAAATCGCTCACATGCTCAAGTTCATGTACCAGTGAAATCTATCAGCCATTGAGGCTCTTCCCCTCTTCTGCTGATCCTCTCCCTTTGCCAGCATGTCTCTCTCAAAGGCCTGGTTCCTTCTGAAAATAACCCCCAAAGTAAGTGAGATCAAGTTTCACTATCCTTGCCTCCAAGGACCGCTCTGGTTGCACTTCCTCTAAGAAAGATCTGTTTGTTCTCTTGGCAGTCCTTGGGATATTCAAGACCGGAGACACCACAACTCAAAGGCATTGGTTCTTCATCGGATATGGGATATTCCTTATGCAACTTTCAGATGTGGAGGAAACAATGGAAAATATTATTTTACTTTATTGCGGATGTGATAGCAGGAGGAACCAGTTCCTGGAGAAGGAACCAGGCTTGGCCAAGTAGAGAGTCAGGGAAAAAGAAGACAGTTGACAATGAACCGAGTGGCTCCAAGAGTGGAATGAAACAGCAAGGGTTGTGAAGATGGCTCAGGACCAGGCAGTGTGTGCACCCAAAGCAGTTGTTATATATGAGTCAGAACTCACTTGCCAGCACCCGCAACACACATGCCCTTAAAAATACAGACACCTGCAGGCAGGGACTTTGGAAAAAGGCGTTTATTGGTGAGGTGGTCTCAACACTCCCCATGAATTGGAACACACGGCCCCCAGGGCCCCCCGCCCTCCCACCCTCGGGTTTCTTCCCCCACCCCTCCCTGTCCCCTGGACCCTGGGAATGGAAGACAATGTGGGATGGGGCCCACGCCCCCGTCTGAGGTACAGTCACTGCCCCTTGTCCCCTGCCCCTACTCTGTCCTCTTCCCCACCAAGCTCTGAGTGGGATGGTTTGGGGTGAGAGGGGACAGAGGTCCACCCAGGACGCAGAGCTGGTCATCTTCATTTGGGCTCTGGATGCCTGGGTGCTGCCCCTCTGTCTCCCCGCCCCACCCCCGCTCCCACTTGGTGTGGGATGTACCAGGGTGGTGTACTCCTGCAATCAGAGCTGGGGCTACATACAGCCTCTCAGAGCCCCTTCCCGACCACAGTCGCCCACCCTCCTCGGGGAAATTACAGTTGGTCATTGGTTTCGGGACAGGTGGGGCCAGGGGAAGCTATTGCTGGTCACAGTCGCTGGTGTGTGTGTGTATGTGTGTGTCTGGGTGTGTGCAGGGATGATCAGGACAGCCTTTGGGAATTACCGTCAGTGGAGAGGCCAAATGGCAAACCAGTTAGCCCACACCTAGGGTTCTGGGTGTGGCTGGTCGGCCCTGCAGGTGGCCCTGGGGACTGCGGGTGGGACAAAGCACTGAAACTGGACTGGTGACCATAGTCACAGCCTGATAGACAGATGGAAGCACCGACTGGCCCAGAAGGGGGCCAGAAAGTCTGGGGTGGGGGTGGGGAAGGAGAGAGCAGGGGACGTGAGAGGGTCTCAGGCCGCTGAGCTTGTTAAGGGACCTCTGGTTCCAGGTAGCACGGGGACCTCCCACTTATTCACAAAGGCTGGGTGACAGCTTGATGTGATGGTAATACCCCTCCACACCCCTATCCTGCCCAGGAAATCCCCTTTCAACAGGCGGGGATGAGGTGAGGGGGGGGTGTCAGTGTGCGTGCATATATTTGGGGAGCAGGGACACCGGACGACCTCTCTTTGCAGCATCCACCGCAATGCCCCATACCTACCTCCAGCAGAGGTGAGAGGTGGCAGGTTGGGGACAGTGGCCATTGGGGTGCCAGGGGAGGGAGAGCTGTTGGACCTCCTTCCCTTCCACACATACACACACACACACATGCAAACACGCACATACACACACGCACCTGTGCGCACACATGCATACACACGTGCGCCCTCGCACACAAGCGATTCAGCTGACAGCCTGAGCTAAGAGAGGGGTGTGGGGTGGCCGGGGGTGGGTCACAACCAGAAACGTGAAGGGGTGGCGAGAATGGCTGTAGAAAGATGCATAATTTTGTGTAATCCCTCACAGTGATGGGTTCTCTAAAGACCTCTCTTCCTCCTCCTCCTCCTCCTCTTCTTCCTTTTCCTCTCTTCTTCCTCCTCGGTGGCCAAGAGCTCTTCCACCCCCTGGAGACCCACGGCGCTCGCTCCCTCTTCCTCTCTTGCTCTCAGCCTGAGGCCCCCGGCAGGGGGAGACCAGCTTCTGGGGGGCTGCTCCTACATCCTCCACCACAGCCAGCTCAGGGCAGAGAGGAGGGTCAGGGGCCCCGGGGGCCTTGGGGCCGAATTTTCCAGGGATCCCGGGCCTAAAGAGAGAGGAACAAGTCACAAAAGGAAACTTGGGAGGGGCAGGAACCCCGAGTGTGCCTCTCCTGACCCACCTGCTCCCGGTCTCTGAATCTTTGAGTGTCTCATTTGCACGCCTACCTCTCCAAAGTCCTGGTATGTGTGCATTTGCTTGGTGCAAATGGTTAACATGCTCAGAGGCTCACCAAAAGGGTGGCAGTTCGAGACTACCCCCAAGGTGCCTTGGAAGAAAGTCCTGGCTAACTGCTTCTGGGGGGAAAAAAATCCACCCACTGAAAACTCAATAGATGATATTTCTTCCCTGACTTGCAATGGGGTCAGTGTCAGGTGGATTTTCTCAAGGGTCTCTGTGACGTGTCTGCCTTCTCCACTCTTTGAAGGCATGTTTTGAGAATTGGAATCTTGTTGAGAAAGTGACTCTTGTCCACACAAGTCTTCTCCCTCTGTGTCTTTCAGTTCTCTATTCTCAAGGTGCATCTGCCTTTCCCGTTTACAGATTTCCACCAGCTGTCTCATACTCCACACCCCCCCCCCAAACACCGCACTTTCAACTTTTCTCCTCCAATGTCTCCATTAAAAAAAAATAATAACTAAAAAAAAAATAAAAATGGGAGCTCTGGTAGTCTAGTGGCAAGAAGCTGCACTGTAATTCCAGAGGTACACAGTTCGAATCTATCAGATGCTTTTCAGGAAAAGGAGGAGCAATCTCCTCCTGTACCAGTCAGATCCGATTTGACGGTACATACACACAGAATACACTAATTGGCGGCATCAGGATGGATAGTGAAGAGATGATTATTCACAGCTTTAGTCTGCTTGGCTCCACAATCAACACTCTTGGCACCAGCAGCCAAGAAATTAAAAGACGTATTGCAATGGGAAAGTCTGCTGTTAGGGACCTCTCCTAAGTACTGAAGAGCAATGGTGTCTCTCTGGAGACTAAGGTGCATCTGATACAGACCATGGTCTTTCAGTCACATATGTGTCAGAGAATTGGACAATGACTAGGGAGGATAGAAGAATTGATGCCTTTGAGCTTTGGTGTTGGAGAAGAGTATTGAGTATACCGTGGACTGCCAGGAAAACAAACATTCATCCTGGAGAGGGTTAAACCGGGCTGCTCCTTGGAGGCAAGGATTCTGAGGCTCCATCTAACATACTTTGGACATGTTGTAAGGAGGGACCGGTCTTTGGAGAGGGACATCGTGCTTGGGAGGGTGGAGGGACGGCGTAGGAGGGGAAGACCCTCTATGAGGTGGATTGATTCAGTGACTGGGGTCATCAGGATGGGTGTGTCAGAGGCAATGAGATTGGCACAGGATAGAGCAGGGTTTAGGGCTGCTGTACATAGGGTCGCTATGAGTCGCAAGAGACTCGACGGCACATAACAACCACAAGAACACACAAAATAATAAAATAAAACAAAAATAAAATAAAATAAAGCAGCTCCCCTACTCCCAATCCTCTCTCTCCAGCTGTTTTAAGGAAAATCTTGGAATTGCCCTGGACCTAGCTTCGCCCATCCACCCTTTCACATTTTGGCCCAGGGGCCTGGCCACGTTGTTTCCGCGGCCGCCGCTGGGGGCGCTCCTGCCTCTATATTGCCCCCTACAGGTCATTCCTCAAATAGCCGCCGATGAGTGACCCGTACTCAATAACCTTGCATGGTGCTTTCTGACCCACCTTGCAGCACTGCAGAAGAAAGGCCTGGCACCCTGCATCTGCCAACAGTGCAGCCCGGAAAACTCCAGTTCTACTCTGTTAATATGTAGGGTCTCCATGAGCTGCAAAGTTGGCTTGACCAAAAGGTGCGTTTGATTTGCTCCCGAGCTGTCTTTAACGGTGGAGCTGCAATGCTAATCCAAAGGCTGTGCCTCTCTGGCGGTTCGAATCTCCGTGCCTCCAAGAGAGAAAGATAGCCAATCTCCTCCTGCGTGATTTCCAGCCTTGAAAACTTCAATGGAGGTCCAACTATGAGCTGGTTCTGATTTGACAATGAGTTTATTATTATTATTTTCCCCATCTAGATGCTACTCCTCAGCTTAATAACCTCAAGTGGGCTCATTCTGATGTAAAATGAAATCCAAATGCCACGCCATGGATGAAGGAGACCCTGAGTGATGCAAGCTGTTAAATGCTGGACTCCTAAGCAAAGGGTTGGTGGTTCAAATTCACCTAGAGGTGCCTTCAAAGAAAGACCTGACAATGCCTTTCCGAATGGTCCCAGCTATGCCAGCCTACAGAGTTCGGTCCTCCTGTGCAGCACATGGACTTGCCACACGCTGACTAATGGCTCTCATCACGGTTTACGAGCTGCTGGCCTCTAAGTCTCTCTTTAACTGAGGCACCATGTTATCCCTCGCTCCGGTTCTTCCTTGCTGCGCCTCTGCACATGATGTTTCCTTGCCTGCTGAATCCTTCCTGCGTTCGTAACAGAACTGGCTTCTTCCTGTTCAGGTCTCAATCCAAACAGTGTTGCCTACAGGAAGCCTCTAGGGTTGTTGTTATGTGCTGTCAAGTCACTTGTGACTCATAGCGACCCTATGTACAACAGCCCTAAATTCTGCCCTATCCTGTGCCAGTCGCACTGTCTCTGATACACCCATCCCGATTACCCCAGTCACTGAATCAATCCAACTCAGAGGGCCTTCCCCTCCTACACCGTCTCTCCATGCTCCCAAACATGATGTCCCTCTCCAAGGACTGGTCCCTCCTTACAACATGTCCAAAGTATGTTAGACTGAGCCTCAGAATCTTTGCCTCCAAGGAGCAGCCCAGTTTAACCCTCTCCAAGATGAATCTGTTTGTTCTTGGGTTTGTTTTTTTTTTAATTTTTTTTTTATTATGTGTGTACCATCAAATCAGATCTGACTGGTACAGGAGGAGATTGTTCCTCCTTCTTCAGCAGAGCATCTGGTGGATTTGAACTGTGTACCTCTGTGGTTGCAGTGCAGCTTCTTGCCACTAGGCCACCAGAGCTCGCCGAATGTTTTTCTTAGCAGTCCATGGTACCCTCAAAACTCTTCTCCAACATCAAAGCTCAATGGCATCAAGTCTCCTTCTATCCTCCCTAGACATTGCCCAGCTCTCTGACGCATAACAAGTGATTGCAAAGACCATGGCCTGTATCAGACTCACCTTAGTCTCTAGAGAGACACCATGGCTCTTCAGTACTTTGGAGAGGTCTCTGACAGCAGATTTCCCCATTGCAATACGTCTTTTAATTTCCTGGCTACTGGTGCCAAGAGTGTTGACTGTGGAGTCAAGCAAACTAACGCTGTGAACAATCTCAAGCCTCTAGGATTAGCTGATCTAAACTGGACACTCCTCATCCTCTCCAAGATTCCTCTTCTTCCTCACCCTTCATCCACTCACTGGAGTCCTGTTAGAACTGACACAAAGCTGACACCCCCTAACCTTGGGCTTTCCAGATTGTAAACCACATGGGAAGAGATTGCCCATCTTTCTTCCTTAGATGGGGTGCATTCAAACAGCCAGAGAGGCACTAGTTTTGGATTCCTATGAATATGCCACCAAGCTCATGTGTTTTTGCACATGTGTATTTGCTTGTAAGTGCAAACGGTCTGCATTCTACAACTAATGTAAAGGGTCGCAGTTCAAACCCATCTTGGCACACCCTGGAAGAAAGGCCCGGTTATATGCTTTCATAAAGACCAAACCCACGGTAGTCGAGCTGGTTCGAACTCACAGAGACCCTGTAGGACCAAGCAGAACTGCCCCATAGATTTCCCAAAGCTGTAAACCTTGATGGAATAAAATTTTCTCATCTTTCCCCCACTGATCGGCTGGTGGACTCGAAGCAATAACCTTTTGGTTAGCAGACCATTGCTTCACCCTCTGCGTCACCAGGACATGTTCAGCCATTAAAAGGCCGTCCGGTAGTTCTAGTCTGTAACACATGGGGTCACCAGGAGTCAGAGTTGACTCCACGGGTAATGGGTTTGGAATGGGCACATATACATTTGCTTATGTAGGTATCACTCATTCATTACTTTTCTATTTTGTTACAGGTACACCTTGGAGATACTGTGGGTTCAGTTTCAGACCACTGCACCAGAGCAAGTCATGTGGATGCTTTTGGGGTGTTTTTTTTTGTTTTGTTTCCCGATGCATAGAAAATTATGTTGACACTAGACGGTAGTCTATGAAATGTGCAATAGCACACTGAGAAAGTGTGAAGTATTTCTGAGAATGATTATAATGTAGCACAGAGAAGTGAGTGAGCACATGCTACTGGAGAAATGGTGCTGACAGAATCGCTCCAGGCAGGGTTGCCGCAGCTTTTTAAGTTGGTAAAAAGGAAAAGCAGTGTCTGTGAAGCTCAGGAAGAGCCAAGCGCAATAAAACGAGGCGTGCTTGTCTTAGGACCAAGTTCCAGGAATCTCCCAAGCATGTCTCTTTTGTGTATTGCTCCTTGGCTTTCAAGCTTGACCTTTAGAAACTCAAAACTCATGGCGATCCAGCCTGAATTGACTGGTAGCTCTCTCCAGCTGTGGAGTGCTGCTGAATTATGGTATCAGAGAAGCACCCCACTTTGGGTTGTTGTTGTTGTTATGTGCCATCGAGTCGCTTGTGACTCATAGCGACCCTATGTACAACAGCCCTAAACTCTGTTCTGTCCTGTGCCAATCGCACCATCTCCGATACCCCCATCCCGATTACCCCAATCATTGAATCAATCCACCTCACAGGGGGCCTTCCCCTTCTGCGCTGTCCCTCCACCCTACCAAGCATGATGTCCTTCTCTAAGGACCTGTCCCTCCTTGCAACATGTCCAAAGTATGTCAGACGGAGCCTTAGAATCCTTGCCTCCAAGGAGCAGCCCGGTTTGACCCTTTCCAGGATGAATCTGTTTGTTTTCCTAGCAGTCCATGGTACCCTCATTACTCTTCTCCAGCACCACAGCTCAAAGGCATCAATTCTCCTTCTATCCTCCTTCGTCATTCTCTATGGATTACACCAGCGGGGCTCTCTAATTTAGTCGTTAAGTAACCAGGACTCATAGTGACATTATGAACAAGGGATATGAACTTTGCCCTGTCCTGTGCCATCCTCATCATCTCTGATAGATCTCAGCCATCGTTACAGTCACTCTGTTAATCCATTTCGTTGAGGTTGTCTTCTCTTTCTCTGATCCTCTACTTTTCTCATCATGATGTCTTTTTGCAAAGACCAGCCCCTCCTGACAACATGCTCAAAGTATGAGAGACCAAATGTCACCAATCTTACCTCCAAGGAGCTCCTTCCTGGTTGCGATTTCCCCAAAGCATATTCGCTTGTTCTTTCGGCAATCCATGCGTTATTTTAATAGGGGCGCAGTAAATAGCTGCCGAATGGATCTATCTCTTGCTATGTCGTGTTGTTTTTGAGTCTTTGCACCCCTTTGTTAAATCAGCCTGTTGTCTGAAGGGGAATCTGGAGCCTCTCCTATTCTTGGCCCCTCCCCCGACCCCTGCTCACCCTCATGGCCACGCCCCACCTGCATCCCGCCAATCACCAGCTTGGAGACGCTGGTCCTGAGCCCCGCCCACCACCATGACCACGCCCCTATAGTGCCCAACCAATCACCGACCCTCAGATGCACGCAGCTGCTACATGTTGATACTGGATCTGATGCCGCCCACCCACGCGGCCACGTCCCCTCCACATCCCACCAATCACCGACCCCCCAGATGCACGCAACAGCTACATGTTGATGCAAGACCTGACACCCGCCCACCCACGCGGTCACGCCCCCTCCACATCCCACCAATCACAGACCCCGCCCACCCACGCAGCAACGCCCTCCCCTCCGCCTCCCACCAATCACCGATCCCCGGACGCACGCAGCAGCCGCATCGAGGCGCTGGACGCTCCAAGCCGGTTGGCAGCGCGACACGTGTAGTTGCCGTAGTGCCGGGCGCTCACGTTGGCGAACAGCAGCATGGAGCGGGTGCGCTCCGTCTGCACCTTCAGGCCCTCGGCCGCGCCGCTGCTCAGCCTGCCGGGGACGGGGTGGGGGGCCAGGCCGTGTTACTGGGGCCCAGGACCCACCCCACCCTGCACCCCAAGTCATTCCCATGCTTGGCGACCCAGCAGGACAGTATTGAACTGTCCCATAGGTTTTCCTTGGGGACTTCATCTTTCTCCCGCAGAGCGGTGGATGGATTCCCGCCTCCTACCTTTTGGCTAACAAGCAAGCAGCCTCAACAGCTGCGTAAACTGGGTTTCTTCTCTAACCTTAAGGACCCCCTGATTCCCAGGAATTCTGGTCTCTAGTATGGGATGGGGGTGCCTAACTCCAGGGTTCTTCTCTGGACTCAGGACACCAAATCCTGGGGGTAGGGGATCCCTGGGGATTCTAGTCCCCAGTCTTGAGACCCCCCTCCTCTTCATCCTCAAGACTTTGGTCTCTAGCCTCAGGGCCCTCTGATCCCTGGAGACTCTGGTCTCCCACAGTCTCTCAATCCCTTGGGATGAGTATTCTCCCCTGAACTTGATGACCTTACGAATCTGGGGTTTAACTCCGAGTCAGCCCCCTGGATCTCTCCAGAGACTCTGGAGACAGGCCCCTTGGGACACTGGACTCTCACAGTGTGCGCCTCCAATCTGTAGGGGCTCCCACATTCGACAGAGCTCCAACCTCAATCCCCCCCACAGGAACTCAGCACCGACCCCCGACCTCTCGCCTTTTCCTGCTTAGTTTGGGAAGCCTCATCTCCCTACTTCCCGGGGAGGGGGTGGGTTCCAGGGGGACCCTATCACTGAGATGGACCACACCCTTCACCCTAACCCCACCCCGGGGTCGTCCTCACAGTCTGTCGTCCTTGTACCACTGGAAGTCCGCTGGGGGCACGGCCATGGCTTCGCAGCGCAGGAGGGCTGCCCGGCCCAGGGCTGTGCGCGCGCTGGTCACGTCCGTGATGGTCGGAGGATCTGGTGAGAATCCAGGGTCAGCGATTTCTCCTAGTCACCTGGGACGAGGACTTCCCGTCCCTCGGCCTTCAGACGTAGGGCTCCTGCCCCCCAGCCCAGGCCTCTGCCCTTTCCTTCCTCCATTCAGGAATCTGGGCGTCCCCAGCCCCTCCTCCCTCAGACCCAGAAGTGAGTTTCCAGCCCTTTCTCCCTCTGACCCTGGGGTCCAGCCCCCAGCCCTTCCTCCCTCAGTCCTGGGAGAGTCTCTGGCCCCCAGTCCCTCCTCGTCTGGGACCCAATGTCTTCCCCCTGTGCTGCCCGCTGTTCAGGAGACTCACAGTTGACGGTGACCAGCACGCGGCGGCTGTCCGGCGCAGAGTTGACCCCGTTGTGGGTCACACACTCATACTCGCCCGCCTGGCCCCGCTGAATGTCGGAAATCTCTAGGATTTCGCCCTCTGAGGTGAAGCCATCTGTGTGGGAGGGTGGGGGGAGGGGGCGGGGCCGGACACAGACACTTAACACGGGACAACACGGGTACAACAGGACACACATCAGCGGGGCGGGCACCGCAGGGCCTGGAGGGCCCGGTCCGTGGGGTCTGGGGTCTCCTGCTGGGGGGGGTAGCTGGGGGGGCGAAGGGAAGCTGGGGTTTGGTGAAGACGATCCAGGAATTGGAGTGAGAATCTTGCATCTTTGATTTCAGAGTCAAAGTCAACCCACTGCATCAAGTGGATTCTGACTCCTAGCTGCAGAGTGGGGTGCCCCATAAGGTTTCCAAGGCTCTAAGTATTTACAGGAGCATATTGCTTCAACTTCCTCCCTCGGAGCGGCTGGTGGATTTGAACCACCAACCTTGTGGTGTCTCCAGGCCTCCTTGGGGGATGATTTGCTAGCTCCAAGGTCTAGCAAATACAGATCCAGTGGTGGGCTGGCCCAGTGTTCTGGGATGCGAGAATCAGCATTTGGGATTGGTCTCCAAGATCCACACAACTTGGATCTTAATCCAGATTACTGGACAGAGAAGACCTCAGGATGGAGATTGGGATCTAGGATTTAGGTTATGCAGGATTCCAGCATCTCACGATCTAGTCTAGTTATTTGGTTCTGGGGCATTAGGGGGTTCCTGGAAAGAGACCTAGTTTACCACAGGTTTCTCTAAAGACCCAATGAGTAAGCACTCAGGAATTTGGGGCTCAGTGATGGAAGATGCACGTAAAAGGGGCTGGTGGGTTATATCTGGGGACCAGGATGCCATGTACCGGCTGGCACCATGAGGACAGCCAAGAGGTGTGGTTCTCAGATTTGGGCACCAGGAAGGACCACCTGGACACTGGCACAGTGGGGTGCAGCAGTGCGGGGCTGGGAAGCCTTCTGATTCAGTAGACGTGGACATCGGTGCCCAGGTGATGCCGAGGTTGTCCTGGCGGGGACCACGCCCTCCCAGCAGACGAGACATAGCAACGAAGACCAAAGGAGCCACTGGGTATCCCCCAACTTGTGTTAGGTGGCATTGACCCCAAAAGTACACAGGACAAAACACCACCCTGTCGTGAGTCCCCCTCACAATTATCACGACGTCGGCACCCACTGTGGCTGCCACCGTGCCAATTCCTCTTAAAAACAAAACCAGACTAAAACAGCCCATGGCTGGTTCCGACTCACAATGGCCCTATGGGACAGAGCACAAGTGCCAGGTTGGGTTTCAGAGGTTGTAGTCTTTATAGAGAGCTCTCTGGTGGCTTAGCAGTAAGGAGTTGTGCTGCCAACCCAAAGGTACGAGGTTCGAATCCTCCAACTGCTTGGTGGAAGAAGGTCTGGCATTCTCCTCCCAGGTGATTTACAACCCTCTGAAAACCTGCTGGAGGGTCACTTAGGAGTTGGTTCTGACTGGACGACACATAACAACAATCTTTACAGAAGCAGACTGCCCCCCAACTTCCTCCCACGGAGAGAGAGCTGGTGAATCCCAAACGCTAACCATTGGCTAGCACTTTAACCACTGAGCCCCCCACCAGGGCTGTTTAAGAACTCAAAACACAAATCTGCAGCTGTCAAGTTGGCTCTGACTTCTAGCCATGCTGCAGGGCAGCGCAGACCCGCCCACAGGGGTCCCAAGACTGCCTCCTTGTTCTCCTGTTGAGGGTGGCGGATTTGAACCGCCAAACTTTCAGCTAGCAGGAGAGTGCTTTAACGACTGCACCATCAGGACTGCAATTTGAAGAAAGGGCCATTTGAGCTCCTGAGGATGGAGGGGAAACCAGGGACATTTGGGTTGGGGAATCGGGGTAAATGGGGGTCTAGCAGGTGAGCTGGAGGATGGGATGGCAGGTGGAACCTGGTGGTGAGGCTGTAAGGTTCTGGAGTTTGAGGGAACAGAGTGGGAGGTGGAAATAAGTCATGAGGGTTTAGGGGATCTCGGTGAGGACGAGGGGGGCTGAGAATGCAGCCTAGGGGTGTGGGGAATCCAGGGACCCAGACAGTACAATGGAGAAGGGGCTTCTAGCAGGGATAGGGTCCTCACCTCGGAGCTGCCTCCAGGTGACGGTGGGCTCCGGCCGCCCCACAGCCAGACAGAGCAGGTTCACATTGCCCCCCTCGTTCACGGTCACAGGGGATGAGATGTTCACAATGCGGGCGGGAACTGCGGGCGGAGGGGAAGGGGAGCCGTGAGAGGGCGTCAGACAAGACACGTGACTGCCTGCCTCCTCCCTCAGACAGGAGTCCTCACCCCACCTCCTCCCTCAGACAGGAGTCCTCACCCCACCTCCTCCCTCAGACAGGAGTCCTCACCCCACCTCCTCCCTCAGACAAGAGACCTCACCCCCTCCTCCCTCAGACAGGAATCCCCACCCCACCACCTCCCTCAGACTGGAGTCCTCACCCCACCTCCTCCCTCAGACGGGAATCCCCACCCCACCTCCTCCCTCAGACAGGAGTCCTGACTGCCCGCCTCCTCCCTCAGGAGTCCTCACCCCACCTCCTCCCTCAGACAGGAATCCCCCCC